TGGCCAGCTCAGCCCACCAGGGGGCGGGGCTGGCTGGCATGTGGTGCTGGGGGATTGAACCGTGGTCCCTGTGCTTTGCTAAGCTTGTTCTAAGTAGGTGCTTTAGACCACTGAGCCATCTCACCAGCCCCGATTCTCCTTTCTTAGCCTCCTGAGTACAGGGATTATAGGTATTCACGACCACACCCAGCTAGATACTTCTTGTCCTAAAAATATTTTGTTGGTTTGATGACTTTTTCTTTTATTTGTAGGATACAGTATTTAATGAAAAATCCATGTTTAAGCAATAAAAATGGCAGGCTTCCTAGATAATTTCCGATGGCCAGAATGTGAATGTATTGACTGGAGTGAGAGAAGAAATGCTGTGGCATCCGTGGTTGCAGGCATATTGGTAAGTGAGAAAGCACAGTTGGTGATATTTATCTCATGGATTGCTCTGAAAATTAGTGTTGATTCCTTTGAACTGTGAAAATTGTTCTAGCTCTTGTATTTCCCTGACTTTGTTAGTAGACAATTATCAGGATTCTAGGTACTATTACTGTACAACAGAGCCCTGAGTTTGCTTTGGTAAATTTGTTAAATTCACTACTTTTTTTTTTCAATTCTAGTGATAGCATATTATTATTATTATTATTATTATTATTATTATTTTTGTGGTATTGGTGATCAAACTAAGGACCTTGCATTTGCCAGGCAGGTGCTTAGGCTGCTGAGCTACATCCCCAGCCCCATATTATGATTTTTAACTTAATGTGCAATATATGCAATACTTTAAGATTCTGAAAGGCTCGGAGTTTGATGTAACACAAAGGTATTGTGATTCATTGACAGGATGTGTAGACAGCAGAAGCACCATAGACTTCATTAGGACTGAGACTTTGCAGCTGTAGCTCTAGGGAGGCTACAGGATCATGGATTGTTGGGGAAAACTGAATTTTTCAACCTGGACATTCCCTGATAGCACTCTCTCTCTTTTTTTCCCTTTCCCATACCAGCTGCCTCTTTGTGTGGTAACATCAGAGTCCTGTTATCTCCTGCCCACCTAGATGTGCAGAGTTGTAAACCTGTCACCTTTGAGTAGCTGCCTTTGTTTTGCTTTGTACCTTGGTCCCCTTCCATCAAAGGCCCTATATAAGGCCTATAAACCCCATCCTTGGGGCTCAGTCTTTGGGGTGCTACACCCTGGGCCTGCCAGCAATAATAAACTTTGGTTCCCCCCACTTCTCTAAGTGCTGCTCAGTTTCTTTACTTCCAGTGAGCAAAGACTGCTGTAATACTTTCCTTAACTATAGTACTAGGGAATGGAAGAAGAAATTTGTGGAGGGAATTCTGTCCTTTTTGAGACAGGGTTTCATTATGCAGTTAATTTTCTTTTTAAAACTTTTTTATTGAAAATGTTGAGACTATAGATAAAAATAGAAAATAGTGGGCTGGGGAGATAGCTTCACGGTCTAAGTGCCTACCTGGCAAGAACAAGGACCTGGATTTGATCCCTGGTACCATGCTGAACAGGGCACCAAAACCAGGTGTGGTGATACATGCCTGTAATCCCAGTACTGAGACAGGAACATCACTATGAGTGAGTCTGAGTTGCATAGCAAGACCCTTTACCAAATAAGTAAATAAATAAAAGATTAAAAAACATTAAAAGAAGCAGAGAATAGTATAAGGATTATCCCTAGCTGGGCATGGTGGCTAATGCCTGTAATCTCAGCACTTGGTCAACTGAGATAGAAGGATCAGAGTTCCAGGATAGCTGGAACTGTGAGATCCTGTCTCAAAAACAAAAAAGATCTTTTGTCCCCTTACCCCTTAAACTTATGGGGTAAAAAAACAGAACAAAGCAAAAACAAATCACAGCCAGTTTTGCTTTCAACCATTCCCTGTTTCACACTGTGTGTTCTGAAATAGGCTTTAGTATCTTCTAGAATTTTTAAAATTCATTTCTTTCAATGTGTAGTTCTGTAACTAAAGTCAAATGAAAAAAAAGTAGGGCAAAGTAGGAAATAAAGATAATTTCGAAGAAGTCTAAAAGCAAAATTTTTTAGATTTTTCTTCTTTTAATGTGCTCCTTGACTGTGTTCATTAATATTTGGGTAGAAGGCAGGATTGACCTCAAATGAGATTAGTCTATGGCTTATTTTCACATTTATCAGTTATTTCACTTCATAAAATTTGACAACTTTCATGCATACCTTTAAACAATTTAAAAGGTTCTGGAGAGCCACACTATCCAACCTGTTGGATCCAGGTCTGTTGCAGTAAGCTTAGAATGCAGAGTTGAGTGAGGGTTCTAAATACTCTGGCCTGCAGTGAGAGGTGTAAACAGTGAGTTGGCCAAGCATGAAATGGTTGGACTCGTTTCTCCATGTTCCCTGCCACCTGCTGTCTGTACTGTGCTGATAAAAAAATCTATTGTCTCAGTAGGAGGCCTCCACTGGGCCACCCAGCTCCCCTGCCCAGGACAGTGTCTCTTCACTGTGTTATGCTGCTCTTGGGCACCTGTGTTGGCTAGCTTTTCATCATTATGACAGAATACCTGAGAAAACAGCTTAGAGGAGGAAAGATTTATTTTGGCTCATAGTTTCAGAACTTTCAGTCATGGTTCCTTGCTTTAGGCTTGTGCAAGGCAGAAACATCATGGTGGAAGGGTATGGCAGAGGGAAGCACAGCAGAAAACTGCTCCCCTCATGGAAGCCAGGAAGCAGAGATCATAGACTGAGAGAGAACTAGAGGAAGGGGCCATGGTCCTAATACATCTTTAAGCGATGACCCCTATGACCCTTCACAGGCCTCACCTACTAGTAGCCCATTCAGCCCTGAACTCATCATTTAGTCCATTGATGAGGTTAATGCTCTCATGGTCCAGTTGCCTGTGTAGTAGGCCCCCATTGGCCCCATCTCTGAACACTGCTGTGTTGGTGATCAGGCTTTCACAATTAGTCTTTTGGGGGAGATTTTAGGTTCCTGCCATAAAGGGGAAGTGGTTTGAGGGAGCCTGACACTTTGAACTCAGTGGTCTCTGGTTGGTGGCTGAAGGAGGGGAGAGTTTGTTGGTATCTGGACCATATAGCCCTGACCTGTATGCTCATCAAGGTCTGTAGTGTGTGAGTAATAACTTAAAGGTTTTTCTTTTTAACCATATTTTATTGGTACATTTTAAAATTTATTTATTATTATTATTATTTTGTCTTTGAGACAGGGTCTTGCTGTGCAGTTTAGGCTGTCCTTGAGCTCACTTTGTAGCCCAGGCTAGTCTCAAACTTGCAATGATCCTCCTGTCTCAATTTCCTGAGTACTGGGATTATAGGTATGAACCCCTGTGTCCAGCCTATTGGTATATTTTATTTTATTTTATTTTAAATTTTTTTTTAATTTATTTGAGAGAGAGAGAGAGAGAGAGAGAGAGAGAGAGAGGTGTGTGTGTGGCCAGCTCAGCCCACCAGGGGGCGGGGCTGTCTGGCATGTGGTGCTGGGGGATTGAACTGCGGTCCCTGATGCTTTTGCTGAGCTTGTTTTAAGTAGGTGCTTTAGACCACTGAGCCATCTCTCCAGCCCTTTTTTTTTTTATTTTATTTGTGTGTGTGTGTGTGTGTGTGTGTGTGTGTGTCCAGCTCAGCCCACCAGGGGGCGGGGCTGTCTGGCATGTGGTGCTGGGGGATTGAACCCTGGTCCCTGTGCTTTGCTAAGCTTGTTCTAAGTAGGTGCTTTAGACCACCGAGCCATCTCACCAGCCCCCCTATTGGTATATTTTAGATATACATAATGATCACATTAACCAAAGGTTTAGCTAGATTAAAAATATTAAAAACATTTGCTAAAACATATTAAATATAATTGTATAATTTGTTTATTCTGTCATGACTTTAGAAGAAAATCATCACACTTGTATTTAATTTGCCTGAGAAATTTCAAAGCAACTTGTCTAATGTTGTATCTGTTCCATTTAAATGAAACTGCTCAGTTTGTTAGTTTAACTACAAGCATTTTAAAAACTCGTGTTCAGTTATACAATATTAAACGACATAACTAAGATAATAGCAAGCTAGCATAGTTTTCGAAGAGAATGTGTGGTGATGCAGGCCTGTAATCCCAGCACTCGGAGAGGCTGAAGCATGAGAATTGCTGCAGTTTGGAGGATATCCTATGCCACAAAGTGAATTCAAGGCCAGCCTGAACTGCATAGTGAAACCCTGTTTTAAAAAGAAAGAAAAAGTTTTGGAGATGTGACAACCATCTCATTTGTGGGAACAGAGGGGCTTGAGGAGTATTAGGAACATTAACTAGACAGAAGACATGCTTCAGACAGAGTTGATTCTCTTGGAGGTTAGCTGAGAGCACTTCTACTGCATCTCTTTATGGTGGATGGAAAGAAGCAAAGAAACCATTTCTGCCACAAATTTAGCTCAGTGGTACAAGGACCTGCTGGGTGAGCTCAGAGTCCTAAGTTTGATTCTCAGTACAAAAATAAATAAATCATAAATAAAATAAAATAAAGCCATTCCTAAGTATATAGTTATGGTTTTGTCTTACACAGAGAGCAGAATTTCAGAATCTTACTCCAGTTTGACTCATCTACAATAAAGAACAAGTAAACAAAGGATTCTTATTTTGTATTTCAGTATCCAGAATGCATAAGTAGAAATACTTTGTTTCATTTATAGAAATAGAAAAATGTTATGCTGAGAAAGAGTTTAATGTCTTGGGGTGTTTCTTCAGTTTTTTACAGGTTGGTGGATAATGATTGATGCAGCCGTGGTCTATCCTAAGCCAGAACAGTTGAACCATACTTTTCACACTTGTGGTGTGTTTTCTACATTGGCTTTCTTCATGTAAGTATGAAGGTAATTCTCAATTCAAGATTGATTGATTGATTGATTTTGGCGGAACTGGGGGTTGAATTCAGGCCCTTGTGCTTGCCTGGGAAGCACTTTTTCCACTGAGCCATCTCCCTGGCCCCTCAAGATTTTTTTAAAGATATGTTTTTCTTTAATGATCACTGATTTCTTGAGTAACTTAAATTTTATTGAAAGATTCTTTAATATTACTTTGTGTTCTCACTTTATTAAATTTATTTTTTCTGGCACTGGTGATTGAACCTGCTGTCTCAAGTATACTAGACAGGTACTTTAGCACTTATGTACTTTGAGACAGGATCACCTTTAAATTGGCTATCCCAGCCTGGAAATTTTGCTGCCTCAGCCTCTTGAGCAACTATAGGGTTGTATGTATACACTATCATGTTTTTTTTTTTTTATTTACTCTTTTAATTTTTTAAAGAGAGTAAAATTTAGAATTAAATCAGAAAAAATTACAAGTGATACAGAATTTCACTTAACAGAATAATAATGAATTTCCCAATATTTGTTGTAATACATAATGTTGTCTTCCAACCAGTTATTCATATTAACAGATACATGCATGTAAAATTGAAAAAAAGAAAAAAATAATTGTATAAGAAATTAAGAGAAAAAATACAAACAGTTGAAAAAGGAGACGAAACAAATTAAACATTAACTGTTTAATTAAACATTAGCTGGCTTGAATAAGATCTGCCATCCCAGTTGTTTAAGGAATCTCCATACTGATTTCTATAGTGGTTGTACCAGTCTGCACTCCCACCAACACTTCAGAAGTGTTTCTTTTTCTTCACAGCTTCTCCCGCATTTGCTATTGGCTGACTTCTTGATGTTAGCCATTCTTTCTGGGGTGAGATGGAATTTCAGTGTTGTTTTAATTTGCATTTCCCGAATGACCAATGATGTTGAACATTCTTTCATATATTTACTTGCCGTTTATATTTCATGTGTATATAAAATGTGTATATTTTATATGTGTATATTTCATCTCAGATACCCATTTTTGGATTGGGTCTTTGAATTTGGGTTGTTTTTTTTTTTTAATTCTTTATATGTTCTAGATAGAGGGCCTTTATCAGAGGAACAGTCAGCTGTAATTTTTTTTTCCCAGTTTTTGGGTTTTCCTTTTACTTGGTTAGAGATTTGCTTTGAAGTGCAGAAACTTTTCAAAAAGATGAGATCTCAGTTGTTGATTCTTTGAAGTATTTCCCATGCAGTTTGGTTTTTGTTCATGAACTCTCTACCTCCTCCTATGCCTTTTAAAGTTTCTTCCTACATTTTCCTCCAGAAGACTTAGTGTTTCTGCTTTAATATTTAAATCTTTGGTCCATTTTGACTGTAGCTTTGGGCATGGTGATAGGCGTGGGTCTAGTTTCAGCCTTTGGCATATGGAAAGCCAGTTTTTCCAGCACTATTTATTAAAGAGGTTATCTTTTCCAGTGAGCATGTTTGGTGCCTTTATCAAAGATAAGGTGGCAGGGTGGGGAGGTATAGCTCAGTGGAGTAAATGCTTGCTTAGGTAAGCGCTGGGGCCAGGGTTTGATCCCTGGCACTGCATGCTACACCAGCCCCACCCCTAGGCATGCTGAGCCAGTGATGGAGTCCGGGTGTGGTGGTATACCCCTGTAATCCCAGTACTAGGGAGGCAGAAATTAGGAGGATCACTGAGTCTGAGCTGTGTAGTAAGATCCTGTACCAAAAGAAAAAAAAAAAGAAAAGAAAAAAAAAGATAAGGTGGGTGAGTGTGTTTGCATTTATCTGCATCTTCTAATCTGTTTGCAGTGTCTTCATCTTCTAATCTGTTCCATTAATCCTCAGGTCTGTGTCTATGCCAGTAACATGCTGATTTTATTTATTTATTTATTTATTTATATTTTTAATATATTGTTTTGTTTGTTTTCTTTATTTTTTTAAATTTTTTTAATAGATTGCAAATTGAAAATGAATTATTTGCAAACATAACTGAATATAATAAAAACTGTCCAAAATAAAAATGAAGAAAGAATTTACAGATCAGTCATAATAGTTCACTGTGTCAAAACCAAGAAACGTATATTCATATAATTAGAATTCTCAAAGTAGAAAG